AAAAAAAAGAACACGCCCCCCGCCCAAACAGCAAAACAACAAACACACCCACCCGCCCAAACAGCAAAAAAAAACACGCTCGGAAGGGGCGGGGTCGTGTTATTTGTTTTTGCTGTTTGGGCGGGGCGTGTATTTGTTTTTTCCTGTTTGGGCGGGGCCTGGGCCCTCGCCCAAACAGCAAAAAAAATAACACCCGAAAAGCCCAAACAACAAAAAAGACCAGACACCAAAAAAACAAACACTCTTACCCGTTCCTAGGTTCAGAATGACACCAGGCACGCCTTGCGAAAACGCCGCCAATTTTTGGAGCCCCCACAGAAAGTGCAGTGCAGCATTCAGTTGAATGCCTTGGGTGAGTTCTGCCTTTGCAAAATGCGGTGGGGTCAGACAGCTCCACTGTCAAGATTTTGTCCTCAAGTTGTTGATGCACTCAGTGAAGGTTGCAGAACCGGACCACTTGCTGAACTCAAGTCAACTCTGCCACGCTCCAAAGACGGCGCCACAATCTCCACCACCCTTCAGATGGCCCTTCTTCCAAGAGACAACCAAGCTTCACATGCTTCGGCACAGAATTGCACCTGTCTGAGTAGGCCGTTTGTTGCTTTTGTAACGAAACAAACTTCCAGTAGAAGGCTCTAATCGATCTGAGGGGACCGTCTGTCTCTTTGGCAAAAGCCTGAAACTCCAAACGCCACTAATCTAAATTCTTTTCTCATGTCCTGCATGCGCCTGAAATCTTCAGTCTTAGATTGTAGGGCTTGGGGATGGAGTTCAAGAATTTAGGGCCTTATAAAGTATATGACGAATGTTGAAAACCCAAAGTTGCTCCGTACCAGTACAGAGGTGCTGGTTCGGGAATCCTTGTTTTGTGGATTCACGAGCGCAAACTTTGGAGCTTGTCCATGTATGACCTACTTGGAGATAAGTAGACTTCATGTGCTTGCTGTGAGCCAGCTATGCTTTTTGATTCAGTGCAGGCCAGGTGGTTAATGACTATCATGGTTCTACTTGAGCCGCACCTGAGGCTTTGACCCAGCGCGGAATCATTACCCGAACGAGGGAAACTGCGGCATGTCTTTCACCAGAGACCAAATTGGAGTCGTTAGCCGAAGTATGAGACTCAGCCGTTTTTAGGTGCATGCACTTGCCCTATTTGGGTCTTAAGGTTGTGGGGCGCCAGGTTGACCATTCAGGGTTAAAGGCTCGGCATTTCAGGATTTCAGGTTTGGGGTTTAGGTCTTGGTGATTCGAATCTGTGCCCCTCAAACTTAGCCCTATTCTTAAGATTCTGATTGTGAGTATCCTGGGACCGGATCATTATTAGACATCGTTACGCTGGGCTCCGCTGGTGCCCCAATTTCTGTTCAGATTTTATACATGATGTTCGGCCAGTTGAAGAAAGATCAGGGCGCCAACAGACAGAGGAACGATGTCCCAAATCCTGGAGACCGAGAACGCGAGAAGTGCAATCCTGAACCCCAAGCACCAAATGGCCCATGTCGTGAATCCCGCGAAGGAAAGACATCCTATTCTACGATAGGGCGCTCATGCAGGAGAGGCATGATGCTGAGTCGCTACACATCTCCGCAGAGAAACTGGCTTGCAGTTCATCAGGGAGCAGGATACATAGGGTTGCAGTCCCAGTACATCCTAGCTATTTGGCGGAGTATTATGGCAGATATTCAATAATGGGACCTTCCAACTTCCAGCCCTATGGTTTTGGTTCAGTGCTTTGGTCTGCTTGGTATGACAGCACACATTCCAAACTTTCAGTCCGTAACTGAAGGCTTATTGCTTTAGAGTTCTAGGTTTAGGGATGTAGTGCGTTGAGGCCGGCTCTTACGTTTTTGGGTTTCAGTTCTTGAGCCCGTAGCTTAATTCCCAAATTATAGTCATAGACCGCCCATATCCTAGCTCAAAAGCCTGAATCATTGGAACGTTAATTTATTCCTTGCCAGGCTTGAACAAAATGTGCAGCAAGATGCCTGAAAGCTCTGTTCCACTTGTCTATAGTCCCACACTATACCCCAAACCCCCTAAACCCAAGATATCTGTGAGGCAGAGACTGCCCAACACTGCCACGCTTCTCCGTATATCCATGGAAACACTCTCTAGACTGTAGATGCTGCAAGTGTTTAAACGGCTGATAGGCCCCCAAACTCCAAGAACTTCGCTCGGGAAAGAGGTTTGAAGTCTGAACTGGGGAGGTCTTTGGCTGCTATAGGAGTTATGAGTTTTCAGCTCAGATTGCAAGGAAAGCCGCCCGGGAGAGAGACTTGAAAAGCATCGTGATCGCCTGCCCCGAAGTGCCTTTCCAGCTGTCGAAGGACCGGAACCGGAAGCTGGATGACATCATGCGTACTCGGGCAGAAGTACTGGTGGGGAAGGCGTAATGTCTTGATACGTTCTCAGACATGAAACACACATGGTTCATACCTTCCTGTGCTGCAGATATGGGCGCTGCTACTATTTTGTAATGGCTCATTGAACTTGCTTCAGCCCTGCCTCAGAGTGGAGGAGGTCTGCAAGTATTTCCTGCTTGTGATGTTGTGGTTTCTTCTTAACAAGTATCGCCAGTGCTACTTCAAAGTTGGTTGTTGCTGAGCCCGAACTGGCTTGGACGCTTCCCACCCCAGCATTTAGCCCTTCATGCTGACTCCTGCACCAACACGTGGAAACGTGAAGCGTTTAACCAAATGTCCTGAACAACAACCCTCAAGCCATTTTCCGTTGAACTGCTCAAGTCCGAGAAGCTGTAAATCTTAAAGCCTATCCTTTCAGCACCCCACTAAGCTATTGGATGTATAGTATGATCTGAGAAGGATGCACTGCAAGAATTCGTTCAAGAATCATTGCAGACAGTTCGCTCCAATGGCTTGACGCGCAAACAAGGCAAGCCATTTGAGGCATGCAAGGCTGCCTTGAAACTTCGCAGTTTATGGATTTAGGGTTCGGCGTTTAGGGTTTGCTTAGCTTTCGGTTTTCATTCACCGTACTGCTTTTCCAGTTGTCCATACCATGTTCGCGATAATGCCAGCTTTGTTGGTATGATTTGGTGATGCCTTACGCCATTGAAACAGAAGAGTCCCAACATCAGATCTACTCTTACCGAGAGCAGCAAAGGAAAGCCCTGACTGTGAAAGATGTCGGCTGGCCAGAATCTTCAGAAGCTTTGCATGATTTGTGCAGGTTCTGGGGACGACTAGCGAGAGGTGTTTAGAGCCGTTTAGGGCAGTTTAGGAATTACAAGCTTAGTGCCTAGAAAGAAGGCGTTGTCAGTTTTCGGAAGCAAGGGGATGAGGTCGCTGCAGAAGGTTGTTGCGCTTGATGAGCAACAGCCCGAATGACTCTATACCAAAACCGCAGGAACCGTACATGGAGGAGTTTGTCCATTAACAAACAGCCTGAAGCCCGTAGTTCCTAAGCCTACATGGACATGTACATCTGGATGGGAGCATATTACCCCCAGTATTTTGTGGCAGAGTCCTAAGGAATGATATGCATTACACGTACGTATTTTCAGAATCCAAAACACAGTAAAAGTTATGAGCTGCGAATCCCATTTCTCCCTATGGTCCATCTGAATATACTTGTACATAATATTGCCAGGTTCCAGGTGCATAGCACAAAGAGAATAAAGATATTCGCGCTGTTAGCATTTTTGGTAAAGGCGTGTGATGTATTTATACTGGGTATCAGCAAAGTTTTCCATGTTCCGGATGGGCCTGAACAATCTCCAGAACCTGAGCTTGGTACGAATATGTGAAAAAACTATGAATATTACATAAATCATAGTCTTGTGAAGATCTTGAACACTTCTCAAGTTTCCATACTATCTTAATGATTCCCTATGCACCATAAGCAGAGTTTCTCATACATATTCACCACATTTTCACGCAACACAACTTCCGGATACTTGGAACATGCTTGGCATGACGCTTTAAGTTGCTATTCGCAAGATGGTTCTATGCTATTCTTCCAAGCCTCGAAGTTTCCAACATGGCCATGTTTTTATCCGTGTTTGTTATGCCACAGTCAATGCCACGTATACCTTGTACTCGTAGCACTCTTTGGTAGTCTTAAACTGTTTGACGTCGCAATCATATCACAATCTCCCGCGCGTTCAATATCCTGCATATTCTTGCTGTTTCCAATATTTAGTAATGTGTCCAAAGCTTCCCATATTTCACTCTGTTTGGTTGACTTCATATTCCTATTGTTCTTGCTGTTCCTCGTATTCTTCCTATGCATAACATTCCCATGCATTCCGCAGCAGCAGGAAAACTACAACTCCTATTGCTCGCAATCCCTGCACCTTGAAAGACCTGGGTAACAGTTTGCCTCTATTCTACTACAAAGGCGACCATATTCTAATTGGGAGGTAAAGGGAGCACCTAATTCTAAGCAGGTTGCATTAACATTGCCTGAACGAGGATACGTGTCCTGTAACTGACATTATACTTTGAGATTCTCCGTGCATTCATAACCCACTACAATTTCTGACCGGTTGTGAAAATAGTTGTCTGAAAACAATGGAGGTCTAGGAAATCAAGGGCATTCCTAATTCCAGTGGCTTTTCCTGCGGATCGTGTTGTGATAGAAATCCCAAATGATTCATGGTTCATGGTTCATTCCAGTGACGTCACAATCCCTAGGAAACCTTCCTGGTCATCTTGAATATGCCGCAGTTGATCCAGCATAAAGGTAATGTTTGTCTTTGGATGGTATAGTCCTTCCGTTTTTTACCAGAGTGACGGCCCGCAGATTATCCCTTTGCTGCTGTATCATGATCCCCTCATAGCTCACAACAAATCACAACAACAATTGTGTAGCATAGTTGGCGCCCTTTGGAGAAGTAGTCTTCCCACCTAACAAAAAACCATAACCAGCAAAAGTAATACAAAGAGAGAGGAATTTCACATCGTCTTTCAAGCGTTAACACAATAACCCATAGGTTTCCTCCAGATGGAAAGCCATTATAGTCTTACAGTGCATAAAACCATGAATTGACTACATATTAAGCCAAAGAACCAACGGTCTTCCCCCATATTTGTACTTGGCAAACCACTAGACCGTTGAACCAATCCTCCCCATCAGATATTGCAATTTTGATTTAGTGGTTTTCCATGTGGAGGCAAGCCATTGGTTCAATGGATTATTGTTGCACTCTGTAAGGGGGCCCCCCTCCTGCCCTAACAATAGGGCCCTCACAACAATTAAAAAGGGCGTCCTCCATGCGGCTCCCACGGCACTGTGGTTTGGATTCAGTTACGGGCTCAAAACCAAAACACATCAAAGAGAGTCGTGAAACAATAGACTGGAACTCGTTAAGCGGCGCCCAAAGAGGCTGAAACTCATTAACGAGAGTCTCTGGGATAAAATGAATGCAACATGAATGTTTGAATGGCTTGGTGGCTTCATGGGTTAACCTTTTGAATGATCTAAAGGGCTCAGGGCTTTGTGTCATCCTCTTTGTTTGCAAACAGCGCTGTTGTTTCGAAACAAGTGTGGATTTATTGTTTTATGGTCTATAAGGGACCCACTTAGTATTAACAAAAGTTCAAGAATACAGGGGGCATACTCGTACCGATTCCTACCCATACACATATGCATACATGTACGTATATGTTTACATACATCACGACAGTAACCCCTTTTATTACAAGCTGTGTACAATCGTAGGCTGATCAAAGGACTTGCCGTGACCTCCAGCACTTGGGGCTTGGCACACTGGCTTTTTGAAATCTCTCGCTAACCAATCTAGGCGTCCCGTAAAACCACCTGCTTTGTTGTCACACGGTTAGCATCGATTTGGGTTTGGGATCAGTTTTGGAGAGCGTTAGCTTCAGGGCTAACAAGGCTCAGGCTTCAGTACCAGGCTAACCCGAAAACCACAAACGCAGAGGAAAGTGCCACTGGCGTTTTGCCGCTTGAGCTGAAGCACGAAACCTTGCTGCTTGCCTGGTGTAAGTGAGGTTTAGGAAATAGGGCCCGCAGGGTTTCTGAGGGATGATACTCCTGGCATTTTTTTGTGTATGTTTACAAGAGTCCACTCCGTCTCAGAGCGGCCAATACCCTTTCTCTCTGTGAGGGAGTATATCTTTAGCCGATCTATGCCAAGATAATCTTGCTAAGATGCCCTGAATCCGTGAGCTGCTCAATTAAGGGGTACCACCCTAACCCGCCCAGTGCGACCAAGGAATTGGCCCTTTCATACCTTCACCGGTCAGATTGCTCACTTCGTCTTTGAATATCTGGATGCACCAGTGGCTCGGAGGCTCTTTTAGGGTTGGGATTTGGCGTTTTGGGTGTAGGGTGGTTATGGAGCTTCAGGGTGTGGGGTTAAGGGGTGGAGGTGTGGTGTTTGAGATTTGCGGCGTTGGGCTTTGCTTGGTCCTGCGTGGTTTTCAAATGACCCTAAAACTTTAAAGCCAGAACGCTCCACAACAACCAGCCCAGGTTAGCCTGAAGGAAATTGCTGAAGACACCGCCTTCTGTGGGGAGCATGTCCCTGGTCGCTGCTCGGTCTCCAAGGATTTAGGGTTGATTCTTTCCAGTGAGGATTCGCAGTCAGTAGTCCATGCTTGCCCCACTTCTGCACCAGGTCACCTTCAGGTGTTGAACACGGCGAGGGCTCACTCTCTGGGGCTCTATGTGTGTTGCCGACAGCCCTTAAATGACAAATGATGTAAAGATCTATTTGACCAAGATTGCAGTGTTGGTCCACGATCCCTGCGGATTATACAGGAGATTTCAAAGAACATGTGTACACGCTGGAGAGCTGGCCAGCTACTGTCTGTTGAAGGACCCTAGACCCGTAACCCATCCAGACGGTTTCAAGTGCTGCAAACGCAGCAAAACGAGCGCGTGTGCATCCCAACGTTTTGCCATCTATTGCTGGGTATTTTAAGCTGCTTGGGGCTTGTAATCCCATATTTCAAGCAAGACCCTGCCCAACCCTTCAAGTTCCTGCATCATGGGTAAACGAGCATGTAGTCACGGTGGAGTGTTTTCTTATTGCCAGAGTTTCATTTCTATCCTGAGTTCTGCACGAGACTAACTCGAACACCGAAAAAGGAGAAGGTAGGTCTGCATAGGGAATCATCTCTGTACTGGGGAAGAGTAAACATCAGCAACAGGCCCTTTTTTTGGGGGGGGAGGGAGGGGGGGGGTGGCACAGGTCGAAACTGAGCCTTCAAAACCTTGTTCTTGCAGCACTAGACCTTGTATAGTGGCGGGAGATTCCCCAACATGCCATCAGCTACAGCTTAGTATTGATCGCCTTCCCTTCTCATTTCCTGATTGACATCCCCTCCTCCGTAAACCCAAAATCCTGAACCCTCAAACCCAAACTCCTAACCCAGGCTTCTACAGCATTCCACCTTGCAAGAGTGAGACAGACTATCGCTACATCGTGGGGCCGAACATCAAGGCGCAGTACGGCTGTTGCGTGGGAGTCTGAGGTAAGGAACTTGTGAGCTTTCAGGTTAGACCTTGGGGTGCTAATTCTCCCTCCCCCACCTAGGACACACAGGACTCCGCAAGGTATTTCACGAATCCCTGTATTCGGCTTTCGGCTTACACTGCGTGTCGCCATTTTAGGGTGTAGAGTTTGCGGCTTCAAGCTTCCAGACGCATACGGTTCAACAGATTGTTGAAGGCCAAGGCTTAGGGCTTTTGATATAGGGAAAGGTAAAACCATGCAAAATCCGGTCCTAGGATGCGTGAATCTTTTCAGGGCTCCACAGGGCTCCATCGTATTGTGTTGAGAGGATGCTGGATACATATATATATATATATGTATATGGCCCGCTAGGACCCTGACTTCCATACATACGCCTCGGACTCGAAAGGATCTCAGCGGTAGTGTCTGAGATGTACCAAAAAGCCTTAACCTCTGAATCTCTCCGACGTCAGAGAGATAAGAACCCTCTGTAAAATGGTGCCTAGGGCCCAACCCACAGTGTCAAGTCCTGAGCAATTCCTGCACAACAGCCCCTGACCACAGGACTTGGCCCCTAAGACCAAAACATTGCACAGCAAAATGTCCGAAATGACCTACAACCCGCAATGCTGAATCTCAAACCCTCCAACCCAACAAGCCCCAAACTCTAATGGTTTCCCTATGAGAGCCTTGTACTTGCCAGACGCTCAGACTTTTCGGGACCTAAAGCCTCAGCCCAAACCTGCTGCAAGAAGTAAACTCTAAATTCAAAGCTCCCACCAAACCCACGCTTGTTCCCAGGACCAGGTTATGCGCTACAACTCACTCTTCGATGCCGAAGGCGTGGACCTCATCCTGGCACCTCTCCTTTAACTCCAAGTATGCACCCAAGATATGATCCGTCATAGGCTACGGGCCAATAACATGGGGCCCATGGTTGGGACCGTATATCTGCACAGGTGCAGGCTGTAATAGTCTGAGAGAAGAGCGATGGGTACTGGAGTTTGGGATTCTTCCTCAGGGTTTGAGATTTCGGGTTTCTTCTTGGGCTATTGGTTGTGACTCGGTTTTAGGGTCACCTCCGCACTGCTCTGTATGAAGTTTCATCACTTTTTCGAAGGGGCAAAGATGCATTGATTTTGAAGGTTCAGAGGTTAGAGGAATTTCAATGAGGGTTTAGTGCCGGGGCAGTCAAGATTCTTCAATGCTTTGGAGTTTGGAGTTCTCAGCTTTTTGGTTTCAGGCTCGAAAATGCCCTCGAGTCTCAGAGTCAACAGGCGTTTGCACCCGAAACTGTGCGCAATTACAGCGACCAATTGCAGCAAAGCAGGAGAATGCGCTTTCTAGATTCTAGTTATGGGCAACGAGATCTCCACGCAGAGCTTAGTTACGAAGAACGAGCCAGTCTTACACCCGCGGCCACTGGCATATCTTGCCTTATAAATACGCTATAAATACCTACGGTGGATGAAGAAACTCTTGCTCCACTTGAGTCGCCCAAGACACATGTCAGGGCACTTTCAAGGGTTTTCTTCAGTACTGCAGGGTGGCGCACGACTTTCTCCTTCACGGCGTTCATAAGCTCATTTGGGGCAAATTCTAACCCCTACGAAAAACCAGGAGCCTTCAGGCACGGCCACTGAAAAGCTCCGCTCCCAGAAGCCTGAAAGCCGCCAAAGAGAGTCCCATTATGCATAGGCATAGGGCCTTCTGAACAACAAGATTCCTTTGTGTAGACTTTTGACGGGGGGCTTACCCTGAACCCTCAATCCCGAAACAGGAATCCCGAAGAAGCTTAGGCTCCCGCGGCGTTCAATGCCACTCCAGACTTGTCTCAGGCGTTAACGCGCACAACCCCAGCTACTTGGGGGCTCCTCAGAAACGGGTTGCTCTTAGGTACTCTTTGAAGGGATTCAGTTTTCTCAAGAAGGGGTATGTCCAGGAACCCCTGACTCCAGAGGTACAGGGACGCAAAGGGTTCAGGGATGATGAGGGGTTTTGGGATCCAATCAGGGACTATATAGAGATGTGGAGAGACAACCACTTTAATCCTGAAGGGTCTAATGGTTGACCATTAGTGTGGGGTTGCGAGCTCAGGGCTCGGTGTAGGCCCCTTTTCTTCCACCCCCCACATCGCGTAGCTGCACCAAGGCTGTTGACGCCGAAGGCAAGCCGGCCCTGTCAGGTATGTGGGAGACTGTGCCTTGGTTGAACTCGGAGAAACTTTAAACTTTAGGGGCAAGGGCCTGGCTTGAAAGCACAAGCTCCCGACCATTCTGCAAAACAGTAAGGGTTCATACGCTGCCCCTGCTTCAACTAGCATTTTTTCTACTCTTTGGGCCTGTCTCAGGTATCTATAGTGTAGCTTTAATGCTCAGATGTATGGCCTCCTGTTTGTGGAGGTTGGGTTTTTCTGGGTCCTGAAGGCTGGTCTAGGGCTGTCTGAAAAAGCGGGTGCCGTAGTGGCTCAAGATAGGTGGTGGGCTACCTGATAGAAGATTATTTACAAACTTGCACGTCTAAAGGAGACAGCGAGGCACTCCTCATGTAAGTGGCTCTCTTCTTTCAACTCTTGATGGTCATTGCCGTAACCGCAAACCTCAAGCCCGAAACTGTGCAGCAAAGGTTTATCCAATCAATGAGGTCCTGAAGGACATCCAGATACCCAAGCTCTCAGTGCCCACAGGCGAGATCCCAAAGATGTCAGTCTGTCCGAGGCTAGTGGGTATGAGTCCGTGGGATGAGGCTCCCACCGGCTCTCATTTCTCATCCCCAAATCACGAACCCTAATCTCCTAAGATTATATGCTACACGCTGAACCGCAGACATGTACACAGAAGGTGCCGTATAAATGCATGCGATTCGCTTTATGCCTATCCTTGCGGCCGGGTTACTGCTAGAATCTGCTGCAGTAGCTAATAGGCCCCCCATATGGACCCCTAACTGTTTTCTGGGTCCAAAGTATGGGTTCCTAATTCGGCGTGGGGGCCTCGATAGGGTATGGGGTAGTGCCTCACCTTCGGGTTTAGCTGATTCAGGAACTGCCAAGAACGGCCCTTACAGAACCCTACTATACACCGTGCATAGGTTGACAGGCAGGCAGGCATAAGTTTGCCTAGAACCCCCCCTCTCCCCCCATGAACTTCCAAATGTCAAAGTCAGCGCGATGGCGTTCGTAGTATTTTGGAAGGCTGTACGGTTTACGACACGGCTTCAGGTATGAGATTCCATAGTCTGAATTCTTGTCGGGCACTGAAGCGTTAATGATCCCTGCTCACAGAGAGGCCTGGCTTCCAGGAAGAAGGATGCATCAGAGAAAGAAGTCTCCTGCTTCCGTGGGATAGGTCGGAATAGAATGCTCGTAGCACGCGTTTTCCGCCAGAACGGCTAATCCTAAGCCAAAACGCTGAATTCATCGAGCCCCTCAGACAACAGCACAGACAAAGCCAGGCAGCTGAGGAGGTCCCTGAGGTTTGAGAGCTTTGGGCGTAGGGTTCAGGGGACCTTGTTCCTGTGGTCCTGTGCACATCCTCAAATAAATCCAAAGCCCCATGGAAGCTGGAGAGGGATTTTGCTTGGTATGGCTGTTTCACAAATCATACACTCCGTTTCCAGGGTAAGTGGAATGAGGATTTAGGTCGTGGCGCGTACCTTAACCAAGTTGGGACAAGATGAAAGGACCCGGACTTTTGAGAAATGCGCGCAGCAGCCATAAACCCTAAGCACTCAACCCCTTGGCGCAACGTGACTCAGATGCCAGTCGGATCCGTCAAAGGCAGATCTCTTCTCCACTGAGCCCCTTTCACCGTTTACCCTACCCAACGCCTCTCAACCCTAAACCTCTAGACTCTAGACCCTGAGCTTTCTTCGCCAAAACCCTGAACCCAAAACCTCAGAATCGTCAAGTTGTTCACCCCCAAAGCTTGTTACTCTTTGGTCCCTCCCAGGTGTGACGGAGGACGGCAGGCCAACTGGCATTCAGCTTCTTGGCAAATTAGAACCATTCATTGTTTAGGGTCTAGGATAGCTGAGACCATGTTTAGTATATTCATGTAGAATGTTCCTCACTTCAGCAATATGCAATCGAAAGTGAACTGGCTCAAGCTTGCCATAATTTGCCCAGGCTTTGGGGGCGCGCCGTAGACTATGAAGACATGTTCAAGGAGGAATGCGCCACCCGACGGAGTCTTGGATGCGAAAAGTTTCCAATGTCAGGTGACATTTCAGAGTGTTTCCATTTTGGGCTCAGACTCCCAAATCCTCATCGCAACCCACCACATCTCCCAAGTTCTTCAGCTTCTCAAAGTGGGCTTCCTTTGCGTACATGTCCTCGGCTCTCCACACACCCAGTCCTGTGCTGAGGGGTGTTTCTCAACATGTTGGATCCTTTTTATGGCTATATCGGTCTTGGGTATAAAGTAGGTCATGCCCGGCAGCGCAATCGCAAAACCCTTCATCTCGTGTTGCTCAAGTCGCGCCATTTTGAAAGCTATCAACATGTGGGACGTCTCCTTCTCACGGGATAAAGAGGCATATTCCCTTCCCCTAACACTTAGTCCCCTAGTACAAAATACGGTTGCGCGTTATTCCGAAATTTGAAATCTGCCCCCGAGACTGCGGGGGTGTCCCTAGCTTGATTTTCAAGGATTAGGGATCTGCTTGATTTTCTAGGTTTCGATTGTCTTTGAATGATTTTTACAATGGACTTCATCTAAAATCTGAACGCAATTTTACTTAGCTGTATTTTGATTTAAAATGATTCATGGTAGACTTTACTACAAGTGACTGTTATGACATGCTTCTTTGATTTCGATGACTTCTTAAACTCGATTTTAGTTGGTTTGACTGCGATTCTGGATTGATCTTGCATAGGCTTTATTCAGATCTTGATTAGATACCAATGACTTGTTAATTGTTTTTTTTGGCTTCACTTGATTTCATTACGATATTATTGCGGTTGTAGTTCGATTTGGTCGTTTGTTATTTGACTTGCATTATCGGAATTCTACTTCAAAATTCAATGAGATCCTATAATACGAGTCGGAGTACATGCATTACGGCCGGGGGGGGGGGGGCGATCTTTAATATTAAGGGAAAAGGATTAGTCCTAGGATTGCACTAACAAATGCGACATCTCCTTCTCACAGGATGAAGCCACATAGTCCTTGGATTGCACTGACAAATCCTAGGATCGCTTCGTGATTTTTGGTAGCTTGCTTGACCCAATCTTGTTCAGTCGCCACATACAAAACCAAAGACCCATGCAGGGAGGAGCTCTCACGCTCTCACACGCCCTTGTTTCTGCCATATGCCGGAGATTTCAGTAGTTTGGCAGTTTGGGCAGATTAAGCAGTGCAGGTTTTCTTCCATCCACCGTGTCAAGGAGCGTTGACTTCCTGCACTTGGCTTCCCGAGTGGTTGAGATCCTCCATGCTGATCCGGCACTCAACCGTGTGACGCCTGCTATAGCTGCAGATCTCTTCTCGTAGGGGTAGATGTCGTAGACCTGGGCACATGGTAGCGACCACACCGACCTCATCCGGAATCGTGGTTCAGTAACTGGGTCACTATGTGAGCTCCCTCCAAGCTAGCTATTCAGGATTGTTGTTTCTGCAGCGAAGTTGGCAGTTATTTGTTTGGTATCTGCAAGGAGAAACGATTGTGAGATTCAAATGCCAAAGGTTCAGAAGCCACATGGGTATTGTAATTTTGCCTTGGTTTGCGGAGCATTTGCAGGCGTTTATGGGGTGCGGTAGGTAGGTGTCTGATGGTCGGAAATTTAATAGCTTCTTAGCACGCAGAGATGCTTCTATGGAAAGAGGCGCAGCTCCAAAAAGAAGCCCCAAACGCCTAAACTGCCAAGTAGACGTAGACCATGGACATCACACATACTATTGATGAAGGACCTCCTTTACTACCTTGAGCCCAAACACGCTGGACACTGCATTTGTAAGATTTCTGCCATCACCGATTTGTAAGGGCGTTTTCAGACAAAATGTTGATATCCCAACATGGGTCAGGTCGTACTGCTCTCGTTTTCCTCTAGCTACGGCACTCTAGTAGCGGGGATCTCCAGGGACATGTCTGGTCCAGGAAAGGCCCGCCTTACATTTTTTTTGCTTCGCAGCTCTGTGTTGCGGACTTCGTCAGCATCCTTCTGTATCTAGAACATGACACTGCAGAAGCTCACACAAGTACGGTCACTCAATCCCAAACCCCAATAGTCGATCCTCAGACTTTTCACCCCGCGCAATAAGCCCCAAGGCTCCCAGAGCCATCCTGGCCATAGACAACAGCACCTGATATGCTGCGTGCTTGAGGGGTTTAGGGCTTGAGACCCCTTCCCAAGAGTTGCAAGCCAACAGCTTGAGGATGTGGATTGTCCCGTGCAAGTGAGGATCGAAAAGAGCCTAGGCATGCTGTATAAGTGGCTCAAAAGCTGAGCTACAGTTACTTCTACGCACAATCGCTGTATCTAGACCTTCCAAGTAAAGGTAGGTCATTCGAACGCGTATAGGGCTCCCAGAGTTTGTCGCGCATAATAGGCTCCTCATTTTTGTGTCATCGCCCCCTGGCATGAAGGGAACAGCCCATGATCAGGGGATGTAGTGGCCTCTCTAAGCCAGCGCCAGAACAGTTTTCCTGTAAGTACCAACAATTACGGTCGGCAGTTGCAGTCCACAAAGAATGAGCCATCTTCTACTTCCCGCAGATTGAGCTTGAAGAGGATTCTGTCCCTTCTGCACCCTCGAGATATAGGATCCCACACCTACAGACTTTCCCGCAACGGGTCATACTTGTAGGAGCCATTCTGGATCGCATGATGGAGAGATTCTTGAAGTAAAGCAAAGGTGCTTCACCCTTGCCCCTAAACCTCAAAGCCCTTGCGACCCCAAACTCCATGCAAATTGCACCTTAAGCCCCGGAATCCCAAGCCCTCACATGTGAAAGGCTAAGTACCCTCACCCAAGAGAGTCCATAACTTTCAGGTGCCACCTCAGCTTGTGGGAAGCTAAGCCCAAATCCGCACCCCTAAATTCTGAACGCTACACCTTCGCCACCCTGAACTGTATGTCCCCAGTCCTGAACACTGAAATCGCGTAAGCCATGGCCAGCTCCTTGAGAAGATGTCTCCACGCGGGAAGGCCAAGGCGCCTGCGAACGCACGGCGTGGCAGGCAGCTGAAGGTTCAGGAGTTAGGTTTCGGTTTGCTGTTCACTGGAGTTCCAGGTGGATGGAACAGCTGGGTAGTAGAGCTCAGGGTGGGGTCTAGGGATGAAGGGTTCCCTTTTATCCCTTATAATGGTCATGATTCTAGCAGCAGAGAGTCATGCGTGCCTCCTTCTCCAAAGCCTCTATGCCCCCAACACGACACCCTGGGCAACAATCGCTAGAAGGCCGCTCCAGAACCATCCCGAAATTAGGAAACCCGCGAAGCTAACCCCTACAAGCCCTGAACGCTGAACACTAGGTCGTTGCGCAGCCTCAGCGCGACCAGAGCATTGGGACAAGGACTTCGACATTCAGAGGTTCTCAAAGCAATCATAATACTGTGTACTAATAAACCGTAAGGTGATGGGTCAATGGCTTCAGGGCTTGGAGGAGTTTGGCAAGGATTTGGTAATTACGACATATAGGGATTGGGGATGAGGGCTTAGGATGCGCAACCATGCCGCATGCACCTCAATTCCCAACCGTAGCAGCAAGGACCCAGACATTCTGACCGGCAGCGGTTCCCGTGCAAGTGCGCAGCAGCTGGCTGGATGGGTCATCAAGCCGGTTTATCGCTTGCGGGTGAAGATTCATGTCTCAAGGTGTAGGCAGATGATGGTGACCTGACCTGAACCCAGCCCAAAAGATGTTTTCTGGATCATAGCACCAGATGACCGTGTTTCAGACGAGTCAATGATTACGCTTTGGCCAGCTGAGTTCCAGGCATGCACTCGGGGTCGAAATTTTCTAGCTACGGAATGTGAAATGTTGGGTCATCAGGCATCACCGCGGTGATCTCAACAATTTGGAAGTGGCCCTAGGCCCTCGGTCCACCATGCATATGCTGGTTCAGGAGAAGTTGCGCCTCTGCCAGGTCAATGCCGTCCTCGGCAAGGAGCTGCAGCGTAGCTCACAACAGCAGGCGGCGCTTCTCAACTCCACGTTGCCCCATCTGTGCCCAAATGCATGATACGATCCTCATCATTGGTCAGGAATAGGGGAACAGGAAATGGGTTTTAGGATTCAGGAAAATGGCTTCAAAAGCCAATCTCCTCCCGAAAAAGACACACAATCCTAACGGAACCATATACACACTCAGATGGCACGAGACTTCTGGCTGGATCGTGAGAAGCGGAGCCAGACCCGCGGTTATACATATCAGGATTTTCGGTTTATATCTGAATCACATGAAGAGTCCTAGTGCCACAGTCCTAGTGCCACTATGACGGTGCATATTTAAAAGGTATACTCCGCAATTGAGGTGCGTGGTGGGGTTTGCGGGTATTCTGTCGGCTTTGATTAATAAGGAAGATCTAGGACCCTTGTAAATATGTATATATATATATGGGGTTATGAGCGATTGTGATCTGATGGTGCGAGGATGGTTCAGACATTCTCGGAAATTAGACGGGTTGCCCTCCTGTCATGATTGTGGAGGCCAAGGGATACTACTTGTAGCAGCTTTGATTTGACAAGCCGTCAGAATTTTGTGCGACGAAGCAATGATGAAGACAATTGGGAGGTTAGGTCGGTATTTTGGCCGAAGCAGAGTTTGAGCAACAAGAGCTGCTGTGGTGGTATTGGCAGCAGGTTTTGGTCGTCGCCGCCGTCTTCGCCGTCGTCGTTGTCGTCGTCCTCGGAGTTGTTGTCATGGTTGTAGTTCTAGTTGTAGATGCAGCAGTCGCTGTATAAGTGTACTTACTACTATTATGGTTAGAAGTAGTTGCTGTAGGGTAGTGGTAGCAGTGGTAGCTGCGACTGATACTTCTCGTAGGAATAGGAATGTTCATCTGTTCGACTTCCCTAATGAAGCCCTAGGCCCTATAAGCCATGGACTTTAGTTCAAGCCCTGGACCCGAACTCTTGAATCCTAAACCTAAGCCATGTTTTGTGGCCTTGACAGTAGCCAGATAAGGATGCACGGCGGCGCGAACGACTCCCCAGCCGAGCTGTTCCCTTCATGAGTTTAGGAGCCTGGAGTTTGGGGAGTTCAAGTCCAGCAACGTGAGGAATACAGGCTAAAGGCCTCAGGTTTAGGTGTTTATGGCTTCATGGCATTGAATCGACAGCTGATTGAAACCGTGTGTGTTTTGGATAACACCCGGTGCTGGTGTCCTTAGCCGGATTTGCATCTTCAACTGGATTCGTCCTAGGATTCGTCCTAACCCCTAAGCCCTAGGCCCCAGGAAAGCGAAGACATTGAGTGGTTAAAGACCTAAGGTTCCGAGGAATTGTTTCGCGAAGGCAGCCGGTGAAGGCAACTTTCTTATACCTGCTGTACTGCTCCTCCATCACCGCAGGCTTCATGCATTGCAGGCACGATCCCCCAGATCCTGAACTCTCTCCTCTCCAGCCTAAGCCCAATGCCCCTGAATCCTCACCCAGCTTGGGCCGAAGCCTAGACCCAACTGGACCAAACACCCTGCAGCTTGACCTTCATAAGCGAACACCCTCTTCTACTTGAACCCTCTGACCAAACAGTACCCAAACCTTGAAACCCTGCAGGCACTATGCAAGCTGCGGCCAGCCATGGTTTGTGGAAGAGATGGCGCACATGGCCCAGTCCCCGGGTCGTTGTTGGAAATCATCAATTTTTCTCCGAAGAGTGCTTTGCAATCCATAAGATGGACCTCTCTTGCAATCCTGCCCTAGGGCGCCCGTGTTGTGCAAGACTTGCTTTCCATCAAATTCAAGCAGCCGAAAACTGACAGATGGAGTTGATCTTAGATTGATTTTTCCAGAATTAGCAGAGGCTGGAAGGCATGGCTTTCCTCTGTGCCACTGGCGACCCAGGTACATCATGGAAAGTCACGACGTGATGCAAACTTGCACAGGATTTTTGGCAACTGCGCTCTTCATGACGCTGTCTTTCCGTATGAATCGCGCTGCCTCCAGATGGTGGAAGCTGGCTGTTGGTTAGCAAGGAGTGCATGATTTGGGGCACCGTGATATAGGAGCGTAGGTACAACTTGATAGTGAGTGTACGGTTGATGAACTAAGGGTTTAGGACGTGATTTGAAGTTGTCTCTTACTTGGATATGGAAGCGTGAATTTTTCTGAGGAAAGGCCGGGAGCTGTGTGCGGACTTGCTGAGCAACGCGCGCTCCTTGAGCCAAGAGGCGAAGCTCTGCTGCAGCGACAAGGCCCCAGGGGCCTAGTCCCGCCAGCTTCCACAAAACAATGCTTAAACGAGCACTTTCCGGGATTCGGGGCTAGCCTGACAGGAAAGAGGCTACGAAAACAGACAAAACTTTTGGCAGGGCAGCGAGCAGCCAGGAAAAAGGAATTCATTTCGTTGGTGGCGCGAAGGGGCGGTTGATTCTTGAGGAACTCCTGTGTGGGCTAATGGTTCCCCATGCATACGAACATGAGATTTGATTGCTTTTGAAGTGGATCCGCCAAACGCATATAAATAGAGAAGTAGGAATATGTAGATATATGTATATATATATGATTTTATTTATTCATATTTATATGGCTTGCAATTTCCCAGCCCAAGCCCTGCAAGGCATATGCGACAGAGATCAGCTTGTTGGGATATGCTTTCGTGCGAGCCGCTGAGTCCCTCGTGCGTTTAAGGTTGATTGGTGATCCCTGTGTAGCGAGGCCCTCATACTTACAAAATCTCATCTCGAACTAGCTCAGCTTCAGCAGCTGTCGAACAATGTGGGAAGCAGCCTGTAGAGGTGTGCTGACTTCTGATGCCTTCGGAGCCAATACCAAGACCCCTTAGCACCATCCTTCAGAGTATAAGCGGAAGGCCGGCTTTGGCTGCGGAATCCTATGCTGACCATCACTAGCCAGGAGTTAACATCAGATTTTCATTAGGGCTCTAAGCCTATGAACAATGTGCCTTTTGGACTGGTACTTACTTTGGGCGGTTTGGAGCTCTGGGGTTTCTAGGCCAGCTTAAGGTAACGCAGTCATCAGGTTTCATGTGCGCTTGGAGCCCAATGAGCGCTTTGTTGAGGCCTTTGAGAACTTGCTCCGCGACTTCTCTGACATGCTTTATGCTTTTAGAATTTTGAAGTTATGGGGTTAGGTTGTGGTCTTTGAGGCTTTATTGCTTAGAGGTGGAGGGGCGAGGGTCAACAATGGTAGCAATGAACATCATCTGTCCGACGCGAAGTCGTGACCAGCATTGTTATAGGGTCATCATCTGACGGGCATGGCTATTATGCATTGAGCAGTAGCAACAGGCAAGCCCACTCGGAAGGGCGTACAAGAAGGGTGAGGGAGTTTGTACCTGTATGTTCTCCAAAGTCCTAAGCCAAGGCAAGCCCATCCTGGAGGACCTCCTGAGAGCTCCACACAGACCGTACTTTCTGACACAGCGGCTGACCCTTCGACTTGCTGATGCCTACGATGCGGGCCACACAAAGAATCCTGGATTATTGCCAACAGTTCAGGGCCTAATCTTCGTTTTAGTAGTATATAGGGTCCGGGGTTTAGTCGCGAGAGTGCAGGGTTTGCTTTCAAGAAAAAGATTCAATTACCTTGATATCCTTTTCTAGCACCCATCATTGTCCCATTTGCCCCTTCCCAATTAAGCTCGGGTAAGGTTCTGCACCACCCAGGCATCAAGCATGGCATGAAGGAGCCATTTCAAGTTGCATTAGGACTTACGCCCCAAAAAGGATCTCAAGAGATCCTTCGGGAGTCCTCCAATCTAATATATCCGCATATATACCAAGCGCCACTTCGTTTCGGGCTCCCACGCGTCTGGGTTGTTCTTTGTCATAGAAGCACGAACTCTTGTGGTGAGCCTATGAAGTTACGCCCTCTTCCTACACTCTGATGTCCCTCGCCGAACAGACTTGGAACCTCGAAGCGTGCCAGAAGCAAAAACAGTCCTTTTAAAAGCAGTTCATGTAGGTTTCCATTAAGCTCTAGACAGGGTTCCATAATCATCCTAACACGCTGAACACTAAGCCCTCGCGAGATCCAGGAACGTGCGCCTGGTGGTTGCAGTCCAAAGCTACATCAACAACTTGTCAAAGACCATGGAATCCATGGAGATGTTGCGGAGTGCCTTTTCCACTCCGTCTAGGGGTTTGGGGCGTAGGGCTGGCAACTTCTGTTTGGGGATCGTTGTAGTTGGCTTGGCGGTCATACATACCCTAGTCTTCCTGCTTGCGTCCTTGTTCTCAGAAAGCTTCCAGTGTTGTTGTTGAGCCTATGGGTAGGACGGTCCTAAGTGGGACATACAAGAGACGTTGTGTACTATGACTAGGTAGCATCAGCACCTTCATTAAATGGGTTTCTGCTATCTAGAGGGATATACAGGTATCGGTATCAGATTTTCGAGGAACAGACACAGAGACCGCCGAACATATCAAGTGACGTTCGCAGGCTACCAGTTTCTACTGGTGTCTTTCTACTGGTTTCACTGCACTTTCAGTAGTAAGCAACAATGTAAGTATTTTGTTTGCTTCCTATTCCGTTAGTTTGCTGCGAAATTTACAGTAGAAGGTGGCAGGGAGCAGGCCTTGAAGATACCATAGGCTCCGCAGACCCTAGCCCTTCACGCTGAAACGGTAAAACGCGCCAAACCCTCACAACCTCACGTCCTAAACCGTAAGGTACCCCGGAGCCATGGGGCTATCAGAAGCACAACGCGCTTTTGATGCAGCTGTGGCTTGCGATTTTGCCCATGGCCGTGGTTTGCGAAAGCTTGATCAGGGTTTGGGGCTTAGGCATGTTTTCAGATGTTTAGAGATCTCTGGAGATGTGTAATGCTTAGGTTCAGGGGATCGCAGGATTTTTGGTCAAATTTAAGATCTCTTTCTGAGGGGTTACGGGCATTCTAGATTAAACCAGCGAACTCCCTTGACACCAATGGAACAGCAGCAGTAGGGCAGAGGGCGTGATCAGGACTATGTAAATGGTTTTTCTTTACGTGGTTGCATGGTTTACCTAGGGGAGGAGACTTTGAAGTTTAAACCCCAAACACGTGATTTCAGACCTCAACCCCCACCCCTTCAGGCCTTGACGCCGACGTTGTTGTGGGCGTCGCCAGTGCTTGGTGCTGCTATAGGAGACTCCGAAAACTTAATAACACTCAAGATTGCACAGGTTCAGGAATGGGGCTTCATCGTGTAGGGCTCAAGACTGAGAACTTGGCGATTGCGAAGGGAGCGTATGGAAAATCCCCAACACAGAGCATCAATATTGTGTCCTCCCTGTGGTTGTAGTATTTTGTAAGAAGTATATAACCTTACGTGGTTCAAGCTTCCGGATTTAGGGTGTTTGTGCTCCGGCCTCGGGGACTACCGCCTACAGCCCGGTTTGGGGGGATCAGCTCTTAAGAACTTGACCAGAGCTGGTAGGATACTCGGTCTACAAGCTGGAGGACGTCGCTGTGGAAGTTTGCAATCCGTTTGGAATGGACAACAGTGACATCAGCTTATGCATCATCAATGACAGGCTTCGTTTTGGTGCCAAAAGGCTGTGATGGTCTCCATGTTGTGAACCACACTTCCTGTCCTCATTCTAACTTTTCTTTATAGACCCAAATCCGATCTCCTCAGACCCTTAACGTGAAAAGCCCATGGAGGTTTCAGCAAGAGTTGCTGGCAGCGTTGCAGACCTGGCTGCAGCACCGTTCATGCGACGCAGTGATCCCTCAACTTTCCGAGCCCTTCAGCTCGGGGGGCCTGCGCGACTAAAAAGCATCGTCCTCCGTAGGACCTTGAGCTGTTAAGGTGCTAAGGGTGAACGCCGAATGCCTTCTGGGGGTCCCAGGTGCCAGGCTGCATCATGCAGGCGCGTGCACCCTCTAGGACTAGCATTATGTAGTATGAATATGTTCTGAACTTGCAACCTGAACTGTCTGCTACCATTCATCTTCGTCGGCGATTACTGATACTAGTATAAAACATGTTCCTAGCACTGAATACTACTTGCATGTTATACCAGAAGCGCAGACCCTCGAGTAGCGAAACCTACAGAACCCAGCATTCCGGTAAAACACCGTAAACCGTGAGAGGTGGAACCCCCAAATTGCAAAAATCGGACTGCCAATCCTACGCCTTTGAGCAGCTCAACGCCAAACTCCCAACATCCACACCCTCAACTTCTGGCGCACCATGCAAAACTATGAGGCATTTGTGTATCGCAACCTTCAGAAACCATAGTACACAGTACCTGAAACTATGCTCACAAGCAGCATACTCCTCGCATTCGGTCCCTCACATAAAGTCCAATATACCATCCCACCACGCCCTTGGACCCAATCACCTCCCCCAAGTATAATCCCGGAATAAAATTCAATACTATCCGCAAATCAAGAGGTCCCATGAGATATTATGTTGGGAATGGTGATTGCTAGAGGGTGATCTTTTCAGCATTACGGAGGAGTATTGTCCGGTCCAGCATCCCGCATTTCATTCTGCTCAAAGTCAGGTCTTGACCTGCGCAGATGTGGGGTCTCTTGGGGATGTTAAGCTCAAGGTCTAGAAACCATCTAACCTTGAGATGTTCAGGAGCCGCTCCTGTTGAGAGATACCTACCTAAAGGTCTTGCTGCATAGCACTTCAAATCCAGAAGAGCTTTTGGGTGTCCGGTTTGCGGCGTAGGCCTTCGGGTTTATGTCTTTTGGGTGTAGGGTGAAGTGTACAGTCAACTGCGATTCCAGCATCTGCACGCCCACCATGGAAGACCTCCTTGTGGACAGATACCCCGCCACTTGGACGTTGAGAGAAACAATATCCGTTTCTGGGTAATATAGGCTTGTGGGCTGAAGGTTTCGTGCGTCTTTCATAGCTTCTGCACCTCCAGCAACAGCGAAACCCGCAATTCATGGACTGGTCACAGCAAGATTTTTGCAAATGATCAATACGGCAGCGCGAGCCTGACAATCCTGACCCATAAGCCATACTTGACTGTTTATGTGGGCTAGTAGCTCTCCGCAACAGGGCTACTCCAAAACCCAAGTCATGGCCCAGGCTGCGGGTCATTCATACACATTCTGGGATCTCCACCGCATGCTGGCTGACTGTTGCTTGACCGTCCACTGGTAATCTTTGTGATTTGAAGGTATGTTTCGGGCGTAGGATTGAGGACTGCCACTAGGTTTAAGATTTGGGGCTGACGGCTTGAACATGATGTCAGGGCTTACGGGTTAGATTTGTTGACAAAGCATGCCCCGAAGAATGCTCTCCTGCCACACCTCTGGGGCTTTGGAAGCGGTTCTGCCAGATGCTGTGCATCAAGTGCGCATGTGTGTCCTCGTGACGTCTAAATCTGCCTAACCTTCTTCCAAGACTCAACCTACACCTTAAAATAAAACCTTAATTCCAAAAGTCAAACCTTCAAAGAAGGCAAGCTTAAGCTTTGCACCTCTCTTAAATCCAGCGAACTTGCGTTACAGCTGTGTGTAGGGTTTGGGATCTTGCAACCTTTCTACAGCCCAAACGTTATATACATCTTTCCTGAAACTGTGAAACCTTGAAACTCCCGACCAACAGACCTTGAAACCGTCCATCTCCTACTTGAAGGCAAAGGAACTAGCAACGTTTAGGATTCGGGGTGAAGGGTTTGGGACCAGGATTACAGATTTTCGGGCCCCGCATCATTACGTTTCTGATGACAACGATGGTAGGGTAGAGCATGGGGCAACGTTATTCGGCTGGCTATCCCCCACAATTCATGCATCTGACTTCTAATTCTAAGCTGCCCTTCAAACCTGAACCGTAAATACCCGAAGTCTCCAAGGCTACGTTTCTGAGTTGGCAGAGCGCCGACCATCTGCGGCTAAGACACGCTTGCATAAACGATGCTTGACTGCATATGACAGTCTAGTCTAGGGGTTTCGTTTTGGAGTGATCAGTGTTAAGGATTCTAGGTTCTTGGGGTGATCAACTTTCGGGATTTTGCGTATAGAGTTGAGGCTCTTGAGAGCTTAGAGTGCATGGTGAAGTGATTCAAGGCTCAAGGCTTGCAATGGTGTTGAGGATGAGCCCACAGCTCATTCTCTGAAGACGCAGGAGGCGCATGACCAGTATGTCAGTGTCCTGTTCGTGTAGACACATGCCTCAGGTAATCCTGCAACGTAAACCTTATAAACTGACCATGAAGACCTCAACCTCAAGCCCAAACCAAACACACGAAGCCCGGAATCCTTGAATCTCAAATCCGGAGCCCTACAAGTCATTAGGCAGAACAACGAAGTCCTCGAGCTACGACTCCAGAACCTCGGACCAGAGAATCTGGGCCGCACTTAGAAGAGGGCATAGGGTTTAGGATTCAAGCTTGGGGTTTGCGGCTCAGGATTAGGGGTGATTCGGGCCTTGGGGGGGCAGTTGCCTGTTTGTTTGGGGAACGGCTTTGCGTAGGAGATCGAACCGGCTTTGCGGCCCTAAACATCAGGGTGCCGCTTTGATAGTAGTTTTGTTTTCCTGTTTCCACAGCGGGGTCATGTTGATGACAACGAGCAATATGGAGATCTACTTCGAAGAGAATTATTTAGGAGATTGACATTTTCCAAGAACAAGCTTTAGAATCCTGTGATGAACTTAGAGTCATGAAGAAAGATTTGTGATTGTCATAAGTTGTTTTATGCTGCAGTTGTTAACGTCAGGTTTCTACGGCACATGTCTGAACGTTGGACTCCTGATTCCGCAAGGTATAACTCCTGTGGCCATCGTACCACATCGTGACCATTCTATGGTTGCTTGCCTGCGCCCTTCTTGGCTCTCAAGACCTTTTTAGTTTCTCGGTTTCTCGTACAGAGCAGCTAAAGTTTGAATCAATGTTTAGCTGGATTGCTCTGCCTGACTTGAACTACCCGGGTACTCCCACCCCCCCTCCCTGATAGTCCTTACGAAGGCAGACATTTGCCAGATATCGGTGTCAAAGTCATTGTCAACCAGTGCTGGGGCCTTCCATGTTACGCCAAGCCCAAACCTCGAACCCTGAAAATTGAAACCCGAAAGCCTGAAGGCAAAACCCTTGATCCCCTAACCCAAGCCATAAACTCAAACCCAGCCTGAGAGTTCTCCAACCCAGCCCGAAAGTTCCCTCAGTCTGCAACTGAAAAATCCAGGCCTGAGCGCGCGACTCTAAGCGCCTCTGAGCGCTAGAAACTACGTACGTTGCACATCCCAAACCCTCAGACTTGCGAGGAGGAACCCAGGGCCTCAGGGCTCTACAGTAGTGTCTAGCCGTCTACACCTGGTTGTGTTAGCAGAGAATCCGGAATGAGAGACTGGGTTGCTGGCTTAATTCGAGGGATTCTTGCCAGCAGTTTTACGGAAATGGGTTCGGCCATTTCTTTGAATAGTTAGTTATAAGATGCAAGAGTCTATTTACTTAGATGCATGCTTGGGCTCCGCAGCACTTCGGCCATAAGTTGAAGTTCTAACTGTCTCTAAGTTATGACAAGAGATTTCAGTGTGTGTGCTCACTGTCGCTGGCAGTTCTAGATTGTTTTGAACATGCCTTTGATGGCTGTACTGCCCGCATCACTAGTTGCAGGAATATAGCTGCTAAGAGAAGCCGCGTCTAGCGGCTTGCTGATGGAAAAAGTTGTCGATGAGATTCTACGTGCACGTTTAGCATGCCGCCCATCGCACACAAGTTTGTCAATCATGAATAATGAACTTTGTTGGATGGATCGACTAGGATACTGCTTTGGCAGCCCTCTGTCTGTCAAATCTTGCGCCGACAATCTCTAGACAAATATTCAGCTTCGCAACAGCACCTCTGGCGTATCTTGAGGGCTTCTTTCTCAAGCTTGTGCTGTTTTACGCCCTGTGTGACTATGTGATGAGTGCCAAGCAGCAAGCAAGCAAAACCACAAACAAAAACACAAAAAAGCAACGCTCAAACGAACGCCCAGTCATCTCCAGCTCCATGTCCCCTCATGGACCTGGCAGACACTCGGGGGTTCGACACTCTTGGGAAATTTCAAGGTTCTGCATTGCAGGGACATTCTGCACATGGGCACTGCAGGGGACACATGCGGGGTGCGGCTGCAGGGATCGGGGTTTGGCGGCGTCACCCTAGTCTGGCACTGCAGGAATACCTCTGAACTTGAGCATCTCTGGGGTTGGGGCTGGGCACAGCGGAGAGGAAAAATGCACATCTTGAAATCAAACAACCCCTCTGTGAGGGTAGCGATGATGCTGGAATCCTTGAACTCAAACCGGAAGCCTCCAACTATCTTGCTATCGGGGATTTTATTTTACCTTGTACCTGGAAGGGGTCCTGCACGAAGACTACAATCCTTAGCAGATTCTCTGAAGTTTGATGTCAGTTTGCGACAGGGTGGCAGCAAAAGTCCAGGTTTCTCGCGGATCCCGGACGCCTGGCAAATCTGTGTCCTTCGTGCATCCGCCGCCTCTGTCGCAGCAACCGGTATCTTGCCATGCTAAGGGTTTACCCTTCACCAAAAATTCCAAGGAAATCCCAGTTACTGCTTGTTTTCACTGAGGGCTTTACAAGCTCTGTGTTGGTTTGAAGGAGGGTACGGGTTACGGTCTGGCGACTAGGCCTCCAGCCGTTCCTCGACAGTAAAAACGGTTTCAAGGGCAAGAAGGCGTGCTGATGGGTTCGTTTCCTCATGTGTAGTTTATTCCAAGAATTTTGCTTGATATGTGGGGAGATGTGTTTCTGTGAGATACGGCTTTGCTTTCGGTCGCAGAGGCCAACAGCAAAAAGTGAACGA